AGAGAGAGAGAGAGAGAGAGAGAGAGAGAGAGAGAGAGAGTAGTGAGAAAGAGTGAGTGTGTAAGAGAGAGAGTGAATGCGTTATTGAGAAAGGATGAGAGAGAGAGATAGTATTTGAGTGCATGAGTGAGAGAGTGAAAGTGTGTGCGAGAGAGAGAGAGAGAGAGAGAGAGAGAGAGAGAGAGAGAGAGAGAGAGAGAGAGTGAGTGAGTGCGAAAGAATGAGCGTGTGAGGGAAAGTCATGCGAAAGACCAAAACCAGCTTGGACTAAACGAATTTTCGAGACTTTACATTGTTCAGTGAATTCCTCACCTCCCAGCACTGCTAAAAAATGAAATTTCTGTTTTCAATTTTAGGAGTATCGTCCACTTTCTCGAACATCGAACACCCTGGATCACGGTATGCTCTCGAAGAAAATTCAGTTGTTACTGCCAAGCTTTCGATCTATTTTAATGTCGTGACAGGGCAAAACAATCTTAAATGTGCGTAGATATTTTAGTTTTTTTATAGGCGATCGAAAATTTTCTTGAAGACAGAATCACTTCTAACATTGCCTAGGACTGTAACAGTAAAACTGAGAAAGCTTGGCAGCAACAACTGAATTTTCTTGAATTCTCTTGAACCAGAGGGTTGGTGAAAAAATGAAATATTAAATCAGTCTTTATTTTTCTTGTGTTAAGTATAATATACCTACTGCTTAAAAATGATCTCAATGATCACATTCACCTTTGCTCATATTATTGTTCAGTTACTCGATTTAAAACAATCGCTCCTCTCCCGTAAAAATTAATAATTTAATAGCCAAACTATATCTGCTCTACCTTTCCATCCGAGAAAAAAAATCGAAGAAAGATAATAATAGAAATGACAAAATGGGAAGACTTGCAAAACATTTAGGATAAATTATCAAAATTTAATCCACAACTTTTTTTTACCTGTTTTATTTAGGCTTACAAGTGTTCGAAGTTCAAGAGATTTTACACATGAAAGAATGTGCACTTTCACGTTCCCATCAGGCATCGTCCAAATCCTCCAAATGTCCCGTAGATCAGATTTTTGTTATTACTCCCCAAGATTATCTTTTAAAACGGATTATTTCTCTTGTCGAGATACACTTCAGTCTACTGCTAGTAGGTTTAAAAAAACTTTCTAAATCGAAACGGAGTGAAAATCTGTGGATACCAATAATTTAATTCATCAGACCAGATCGATACAAGAACATAAATACAAAAGCCCTCGTAGTAAGGTTTTTTAATTCTGCACTCCACGTAAGGGGGAGGCCCTAAAAACAAAAATAAAGATTATGGCAATACAGATTCGTCTTCGCACATAAAATTCGCAAAATGGGCACGTAAACGCTAAGAATTTTAGGTTAAAACCATTTATAAAAGAGAGGAATCGGGACGCGGTAAGATTTAATGAAGGAACCTGGGGTTACTACGGTTGAGAATGTTAATGGTCAGTTCTTCTCCCTTTACCTATCACGATGAATATTATTAGAATAAATAACGAGATTCTTAAGGTCTAGGGCTTAATTTAGTAAACGATTTTAGATCATTTACATGGGTTGATTCATTAGGTGTTTTTTTTTCGAGATCTTCTTTCAGACACACGGGTAACACGAGAAATGATGACATACCTCTACCATCATCACGATGCGAACAATACAGCACTTTCATCACGTATAGCTCAAGTCCTAACAATGCCACCACTAACACTCAACAACATATCGATTGTGCACAAAGTGTACATTTACTTAGAAAACAATTGTCCTCCATTTTAGATCAACAACAAAGTCCTCTGTCGTCCACTCAAGATACCTAGGTAGAAGTCTGGCGTGATACATAATTGTGATTCATGCATAAGTCCAGAGGGAAGCTTAACGGAAGACTTCTGATCCAGTGTTTTTAACTAGTCCTCACACACGTGTAATACAAGGGATCTTTCTTGGTTCCATCTTTTGCCATTTATGCTGCTAACATACCTATAGCAACAGCACGGACTGGAACAATAGTGCATATTCATCTCCTAGCTTAAATCCACTCCAAGCCACCTCTAACACTATACTCCTATATATATATATATATATATATATATTCATCTCAAAGTACATAGACTATATATAGACAGTAGACTGAGCTGTAATACACACTCAAAGCCCAAGAGAAGCTTAACAAAAGACCTCGCATACAGCCTTTCCAACCAGCCCTGAGATAGCAACACAAGGGATCATTCTTGGTCCCATCTTATATGCCGTTTATACTGGTAACATACTTATACCAACATCACAAATGTGATCGCTACTGCAGTTCCATCTCTTAGTTCAAATATTATCCGAGGCACCTCTAACACCCAAGATCGGACATCATCTCAAGGCACGTAGGACTATACCTAAGCAGCAGAATGGTGTGAAATCCATATACAAGAAGCGTTACATAAGAAATGGATGACTACGTGGGGTTTTATGATTGAAATCGGTTATAACTGTAAAATACCCTTGGTACAAAACTTAACTTCGACCAATCTGCACTACTGCGGGGTACCGCTAAGCTGTCGAACATCTTTTCACCATGCTTCATTTTTTAAAGTTCTCAGACAGCGTAACACAAAGGATCAATGTTGGCCCAATCTTGAAGGTCATTTTTAATGTTAACTTCTATATCCTCACCATCATAACGACCTACGCGAACAATACAGTACTTTCTTCGCCTGGCTCAAATTCTAACCAAGTCACCTCTAACACCCAAGAACATGATTGTTCTTGTATTCCACTTTAGGCTACCAGACTAGCGTGAAATTCGATTAAGACCAAAGAGAAGCATGGCAGAATGATTTCGCATATTTTTTTCAACCTGTCCTCCGACTATGTTATTATATGTCAGATAACAGATAACGATATAACTCAGATATGTTTATAATGGTAAGGTCCCACAGGAGTGTGATTTCCTCAAGTTACTGCCTGAACACTCTAAGCCTTCAGGAATTCCTCAACGTGTGTGGCAGCCTCCTTCGGGCCGCGGTGGGAGGGACATCCCGAACAAAAATCAATTCTTTTTACGCTTGGAACCACGAGACAGAATACAGAACTTGGCCTTTGCCTTGAGGATTTCCTTGGGGCGTTGGGAAGAAGAAATCCCCAAGAAAATCCCGATTTAAGGATTTCCTCTCGAGATTTTACATCTATTGAAAAGGGGAAATACGAGGCAAAGTAGGTTTCATAGCTCTCAAAACCAAGGATTATGTTTTTCTGTCTTTCTGTCAATATTTTCCGCAAGAAGTGCAAGAAAAATATAAAGGGTTGTCACCTTGATTAAAAAAGAAGCCGTTTTGAAATCCAAAATACTGTTATTACACACCAGTATATTTATTAAATCTCAAAATATGTATTAAAAGTTGCGTGTACAATTGAGGTTTAATGACGGTGGAAGCCACGCTCTCTTTGGCAAACGATTTTGACCATTTTACCGACTTCCTTTTAATTCTGGTCGGATTTTTGGCTGTTTTTTTTTTCTTTTTTTACAACACGGTTTATTACTTCGGTAATGACGGACCAACTATCTATTACGTAGCAGAAAACTCCCATTGTAAAAAGCGAGTTTTCTTCTTTCGGCATCGAAAGATTGGACACGGAATTCCTCCCTGCTGGGGGGCAATAATATTCCGCCGTTTCGTCCTGTTTAAGTGTAATTTTATAACATTTCCTAGTCGCCTTATTGTACTCGCCTATCTCCACACTGTCGGACGCGTGGCAGGACGCGCGCGATTCCGTTTTCAACCAGGGTCCCGAGGACGAAAACAAAATATTTTCCCGTTTTTCTCGGGCCTAGTGGGAAATTCACACCTTGTCGGTGTAAGACTGTTTTTTCCCTTTCATAACCGGACGACTGTTACGCTCCTCTGAGATTTTCTTTTTATTTTCGTTCGAAACGTTTAACAGACGCAACGACACAGTACAATCCTGAGGATTTTCACTCGCGTGAAGGCCTCCGTACAAGATGAGCAATAACAGTCAATATTTTTTCACCAGTACAAAAAAACTTTTAACCCTCTTGCTTATGTTCGATTATTATGTTTAAATGTATTTTAAATGTATGTAATATATCATTTTTTACGCAAAGTGTGATTGAGTTTAAAAATTAGTACCATGAACGGGACTCGAACCCACGACATCTTGATTTGATATATTCATAATCTCCCTCTGGATTTTCGACATCATTCAGCTTTGTTCGATGAAAAACGAAACAATTTATAGGCAGATGTACATGTAGTAAAAAAAATATGCGAACACTTGCATGGCTTTATAGGATTTTCAGTCGCCAAAGAATAACAAACTTTTGAATTGCGTCACGAGCTTTCGTTGTTATTTTAACGTAATTAAGATTTTTCATTTCTGTATCAGGAAAAATAAAGTCTTGCCGTTCATAATTAACGTTGTAAATTTCAATTTTAAAACCGGCATCGAAGTGCAAACTGACTTTCTAAGAAAGTCGTGAGATCAGAGAAGCCCGATGCTTTTTTTTCTCGTCTTCAAATTTCGCCCCGAGTCAACAACTGGTCTATTGAGCATCAATTTGTCCAGTCGATCGACCGGTGGATCTCTTTACAGCCGTGTAATCCGGATTAATGAAGTGCGGAAGGTTTTTTTTCTTTCTGTTAGAAACACTCATCAGTATTCACAAGGGGCAATTTTCGTCTGGATTTTAACGGATGAAAGTCCCCCGAAGAAGAAAGTTCTCAGTTGAAATGCTAGTAATGTACGATTGTGTCTGCACACTGCTTTTATTCGACGATGATTCAGTTTTCATAATGCTTTTGATTGTTTATACGAACTAGGCTAGGAAAATGTAAAATACTACATAGATAACACTTTTGTATTATTTAAATAACTTAGCTTTCATTGGGAGAATTTGTGGATAAAACACTTGATAGGCGTTGATGAGGCGTTTAGATGCATATTAGAAAAGAAATATGATTGTGAGTGGATACAAAAGGAGGCATACCTGTTTAATGTTGGATGAGTGTGTGCATGTAGATACGGTTCGAGAAGCTAAGTCCTGACTACGATGCGGGTAAGAACCCTATCAACTTTCACTGGCTGGCTGAAGAACGCTGGTGGGGGACAACTGTATCGGACTTACACGCGGATCCTCCCTTCCTTGCACATTGTACAACACTTTCTCCCGTTCACCTTCCTCCACCGCTGTTTTGTTTATACTATTCCTTCCGTCCATTTCCGGATCGTCGTCACAGCTCGAATCCCATTTCACCGGGGATCAATTGGCGTTTCGAGAGAACGGCCCTGTGGTCTACGCCCAACGAGCCCATTGTCCTCAACCCTTTGACGTACGAAAGTATCCAGTCGGTGTACAAGACGGGAAAGTATTGCGACTGCCGCCTAAGAAATATCTCTTTCCGATACACAAGCGGATTAGTTGACGCAGTTGGTGGTGTTTTGCAGTTCAGAAATTCTTAGAAATAGGGACTGACTATATGATCCCGGAAACAGCATTTCCAACATCCTATAAAGTATAACTGACTATAAAAGAGAAGAAACAATCAAATACAATTACATGGTATACAGCTTTAAAACCAGTTCAGTGTATGGAGCTGTTCGTTGAAGGACTGATAGCGATGTGCCGGATCTTGTAGCGAGCGAACGGCCATGTGAAGCGGGCAGTTGATACTGCGGGAGATGGTACTGGGAATACCCTTGTTGCTATGGCTACTACTTGCGGCTTGCTCCATTAGTGAGTTTTGTTTAAGATCTCATCGACGATCTGCATTAAGCAGGCTCAGCCTGCTTATATACAGATGTGCTGCAAGCAGGCGAGACCATTGTTAGTGGATAACTTGTTAACCACAGGTGGCCACTATACCAGGTTAGGTATCTTCTGTGAAAACCCAAAACATGAAAAAATCAAACTCATTAGGAAAGCACACCTGGGTCTTACAATATGAAATTCCTATCAATGCTTGTGCTTTAGAACATTTTAAAAGAGGAGCATTAATGTGTTAGCATATAAAAAGGTCACATCTAAAATAGTAAGTGAACGCATCCAAAATCGTACCACAAAGAACTTGTGGGTGATGAAAAAGCACATAAACTGGCCAGAGGGAGGATCTGCAAGACCATATACCTGAACTATATATGCTTACATTGGATGGCAAAATCAAACACATATTGGATCCATATAGGGCAAAAGCTGGTCAAACTTTACAGATCAGGTATAGCAAGCTTATGGTGAAAAGGACCCTCACCAAAACTGGCGAACTCATTGCTATAGTTAGAGAGTAATAGACTGACATCTGAAAAAATAATCTAAATAACCCCTATTTGTACGTTATGCAATAAGGAGGAGGAAACAACTACCAATGTTATCTTCAAATGCGAACCTAGGGTACCAAGAAAACCCGGGAAAAAGAATTGTAGCAATGACAGTCACTGACCTAATACTTCTTAAAAGGATCAAGTCGATTGAACTGAACTAGGAAAACTATAAAAGCCAAAGCGCTGCTGAGCTTGGGACCTTGTTATTCCTTATTGTTGTATGTTATACCTTTGGATCCCTCTCCTCATATTCATTCTGAAGACCATCGGGTTTCTAGTTCGTCCATGAACGTTCCATTCCTTGCAGAACCCATTGAAAGTTGTCTTCTGCTGTTTCAACGATCAGTAGACACGGCTTCTATCAAAACTTCACTTTCGAGGTTCCTAAGTTAGCCAGAACAAACTCTACCTTTTAAGGTTCATGTATCCTGGGGATGCTTCATCGAGGAACCCGGAAAAGTTCAATAAGCTGGAAAGCTGCTTGTTGATGATTAAAGGAGAAAAAGGGAAACAAAATCACCATTCATTTTGTGTAAGATATCATATAATGTAATCATAGCATTGTTTCTTATGTAATCATAACAACGTGTAGTTCAAATGACATGGATTTAAAACCTAATTTCAGTTTCCAATAGTTTGATCGTTTCCCATCATTTTAGTCCGCCTATCTTCGCTCTTTCGGTCTATTAAGCGTGTTTCGGCTTTTCGCCATTTTCAGTACTTCGTCGGAGGTAACAAAAGCATCTGACGAGCCAAAACACCGAGAATAGGCGGACCAAAATGATCGGTAACGACCAAACCGCAGGTTCATCACCCCGAAGACTCTATAAAATAATATTATAATTTTGTCGCCACTTGTGTCACATTACTAGATATTCTAGAATTACTTCACAAAAGTATGTGGTACAACGTTAGGGTTATAAACCGGGAGTATCAAGTCGCCGATCCATTTCTGAGGGGAACCTCGGTACCCGAGTAGCGTCAGAATCTCTGCTAGTAGATCCCGCCTCATGGGTTCGATTCCCACCGTCGTCTCTGTACTTTTTTCTGTTGCCTAAGGGGACCGGTGGCCGTAATGAAAATGGACACGGAACTCATCAAAGGAAAGTCTGGGGCGGGATCGGATCTCGGTGATCCTGAATTTGGACCCCGACCCCCTTCGTAAATGGGTTTCTTCGATGAAAGAACACCGACACACCGGGGGCTCAATTCACACGTATAACGAGCTCCAAAAGCTTCCAAAAATTGAGCCAGGAAGGAATACACTAAGCTGTGTGGAGCTGCAGTGTTAAGGGGGAACTCATCCAGTTCTGAAATGTTGGTCAGGGAGTGCAATTCGCTCATTCCGTCCAGTTCTGCGTTGGTTCTTTTATTTTAAAACTTTTATCTTAAACTATATTATGAGACAAACTAAAAATGCAAAACACTTTAATTCCATGAAATGGGGAATACGCTGTTTCATTGATGCCAGTTGATTTTGGTTCTAAAAATCCACCATTAGAAACCAAAATACTTGGATCATACTTGATTCTCAATTAAGCTTGCACAGGTATAAATGCATAACTCGTTCATAATGTTGTGGGCTTTTTCACACCAGATCTTGCCAAACCTGTTGTTGAGACATTTGGCCTCGGCCTACTGTTCACTTGTAATATAATTAGACAAATAATCAATTTTTCTCGTTTCTCCTCACGTTTTTAATGTTGAGAATTTATTCTATCTCATTCATTGTTGAAGATTGGACATTTAGATTTTAATTTATCACTTCATCATTGGGCGCAGGAAACATTAAAATATTAAACTACTGAAACTCTTCATGTGTTCCCTTACAACCCCAGGCGGACCAGTTTTTCCAGATAGGGCCAAAGGAAGTCTGGAAATCGTTATCACTACCTTGTCATTGTCATAGCACAATTTCGCCCCAAGATCGCCTGAATATTTATATGATTATTGTAATTTGTCCCTTCTATAAAATCAATGCTGATTCTGATACTGGAAAGTATCAGAAATCTCTTACATATTGTTTTATACATCAAAAATCATCATACACAAGGAGTAAAAGTGAAATAACTAATTCCTAATAATATAATATAACATAACTTTTTTTATAATAACTTTAATGTCCTCTTTCGCCATTCACTTCAGTGACAACCTCCAGCAGACTGATTTAATCCATGTCGTGCTGATAATAAATTACTTAAGTTAGACTATTAAATTGAATTTAATTACAAAGTATTTTCCATTACATACTAACGACTAATCAGTAAAGGTAATGTGAAAGAAATATATTATTTTAACAGAACGCTTTAGCCCACAATTTTTTCCGTTCGTACTATTGCTTTTTTCCATCAAACTAACCCTTTTTAATTCAAATTAACCTTTTCTGACATCAAATTAACCCTTAACACTTCAAATTCCCCCTTTTCAATTACAAATTAACCCTTTTTAACATCAAAGTAACTATTTTTAATTTAAAACCCCTCTTTTACTTCAAATAATCCTTTGTAACGTCAAATTCCCCTTTTTTAATATCAAATTAACCCTTTTTAGCTTTGAAATAAATTTTTAACTTAAAATAAACTTTTTTAAATTTCAAATAACACTTTTTTTACTTCAAATTAGCCTTTTTAACTTCATATTAATTAATTTCACATCTCTTTTTGTACTTAAAATCAACCCTTCTTAATTCCAAATTAACTCATTTTAATTTCAATTCAACCCTTTTTCATTTAAAATTAACTCATTTTAATTTCAAATAACTTTTTTAAATTTCAAATTAACCCTTTTAAATGTCAAATTATTCTTTTTCAATATCAAATTAACCAGATAATCGGCTTTCATGAACCTGCCCGACGGCAGGTGGTCCGAAAAGGTTCAACAAAGACGTCAGAAATTTGCCATTGTCCTACATGACAGCGATTTAGGATCGGATTTCATATTAAGCTGTCCGACATACGACAATCAATGGCAAACCGAAGCCAACTCTAACATAAAAATTAAAATTGTATTATTAGTCATTTTTAAAACTAACTTAATATAACATTCCACACCTCAAAATCCTCCTTTTTGCTTTTTTATCGCTTTCACAGCCATTTTTAGTCATTTTCAAACCATTTCTCTGGCAAGATGGAAACGAATAAAGCCTACTTTCGCTGTTGTATTTTTCGGAAAGGAAGTGCAATTTTCGCCGGAACCTTTTTAAGTAACAGCGGGTGGGCGTTGTTCGTCAAATACGCAAAATTTTGTCTAGAAAGGCTCAAGAAGGCCAATGACCACTTTGGACCTCACAATCGTAAAACTGCAGAAAGTTAAGAGACCATGGAACTTTTTTTTTAGGGTTTTACAATAGTTCCTGTATGTGTAATCCTTAGACAAATATTAAACCATAATCTTTATATAATCCGCTTTGGTAAAGCCGATATTGCTCATTGACAATGGGTGATCCTAAATGTTACTGCGGAGGATCCAGAAGCTTATATATGTCGAAATATATCTAATTTCACATTATTTCATATTTTAAGTTCGCCTTTTCAACTCATATAACATCGAGTTTGTTTAAAAACCTGCAGTAAATTGTTTGACTATATATGTTCCATTTTTTGTATAAATTGCAACCAGGATATATAAAGAAAAATCGTAATTTTTGGGTGGTACTAGGTCGAAAAATATGAGGTTGATGTTAGAGCCATGTAAGTCCTAGGAGCCGAGAACATTTTTTAAAAGTAATTTTGTTTAATATTGTTTTATCCCTTTATTGTGCAAATATTTCCATGTTTCTTACACAGCGTATACTCATACGACAAAAAGAATCTTATGAACCATGTTCCGACTCTCAACCCTTTCTCATAAATTCAAATTTTTTTCCCCAACTAACTACCGTTTTCGTCATAAATCTACACGTAGCTCTTAACTATGCATTTTTGGAGAAAAACAAAAAGCTTTGAAAACATCTTTAAAATTCCTTTCTTCTGGACCTTTAAATTTAATTTTTAGTACAAAAACACACTAAATATATCAAAAACTCCTAAATTTAAAATTGGTAAAAAACAACTAAATTTGTAACCTTGAAAAAATTCATGGTAAAGCATTGCAAATTATGTAACAACTTCTTCGTTTAATAAGCTTTCTAGCTGTATACCCTTTTCTTCAATTTCATCGCACCCGAAATTAAGCACCTTTTATAGCCGTTCGATGCTAACTTTTATGGCCAACGAAAACATTTTTGCCTTTTCAAGGTATTTTCGTTTTTTTTTAGTGTCCTATTTTTCCACAACTTTTCTGTTTTATTCGGATTCAACGTAATTACAACCCATATATGTATTTAGTAGTCATAATTGACCGTATTAGTTATTTTAATTTCTTATCTTATCTAAAGTTTTGGTTGAGATTAAAAAGCTAATGTCACGAGCGGGATTTGAACCCACAACTTCTTGGTTAGTGCAGCGGCGTATTGAGCCGAAGGTCTTTGGTTCGAATCCCGCTCGTGACACTAGATTTTTCATCTCAACCAAGACCTTAGATAAAAAGTATAATTGATTAAAAGTTATTACAACCCTCGGGGAAACTGGATACTACTTTCAGCCTATATCAACAAAATTCGGTTTTTGTGTCAATATACGTGAGAAAAATAAGTAGGAAATCGACAAAAACACCTCATAAGTTTTGTTTTATATGTCCAATTTTAATTTGTTTACGAAAGCCAGGTTTATTCTATTAATTGTGGCCTGTTCTTGTAATCCGGGAAAATAGACTGGTTATAATATAACCGTAGTTATAAGAAAAGCTGCCATGAGTTTATTCGGTATAATTTTATTTCGTAATATTTTCTAGGGTGTTTAGAAATAGTTGTACGAAACACTGATACGATCTAAAACTTTTCAAAATTTCCATTATCAGATAACAGGGTGTATATTTACCCTTGTATTACATTATATTAAATATGTGCACTTTTTCTTCAAATATTACTGATTACTTATTTATACAGGGTGTCCCAGAAAAAGTGCGAAATTCTTTTTGGCGTGATAGTACACTAAATAGAACTGTTTGGTTTTCAAGTTTTATAGTTTTATCTGCAATAAATTATTGAAGGATTTACAAGCACTGGACATTAAAATTTATTTTCAAAACGATGACCACGATGTTTGACACACATCCGTGCTCTTTTTCCCATTGAACCTACACTTACTCGTCTGGCTAAATGGGTTCTAAGTTTATCAGATGGTTCGAGGTGTCCTTAAATCTTCAGCACGTTCCTACTGAACTGTACACCTACACCCAACAAATGCGTGCCTGGTCTAACCAGCAATATCCTACGTTGATTGGTAGAGGAGGAATCAACCCGTGGCAACCTCGTTCCCCCGATCTTACTGTCATGCATTTCTACGTTTAGGGATTCCTTAAGGAAAAGATGTACAGTTCAGTAGCAAATCCAGTGGTGTTTGAATCCAAAACTGTGGTAGACGTGATATTTGTGTTTTTCTCAAGTAAGGTAACTTTTCCGTGGAAAAACTAACAAAACATCGTAACTCCTCACGGATCGAAGATAAGTACAGGGACTGTACGTTGGAAGTTGTTGCAAATAGGGTGTACTATCACCAAAAATTTCGCACTTTCTCCGAGATACCCAGTATGATCTCAGTTCTGCACACTGATTGATGTACACGTGTACAGTGATGTACCCATCACTTCTCGCAGCCCTCGAGAATCACCAACCCCGTGCGGTGTCATTCCGGGGTCAGACGTCGATCTTATCCGTCCAGCCACCACAGTTGGACTCCAGGGGCTATCGACACCTAGGTCATTTCAGTCTCCAGATCCAAACCCACTCACACTCCCACTCACACTTAAATACATTTTTTTTATTTACATACTAATCACTCAGAATGGAAGTTATGTTCACATTCACGCCAATAAATACATTCACTCTTACTAGGGGACACAAAACTATCAGTACTATATACAGTAAAACAACCCTGTTTTCTACCAAAATTGGAACAGGGGACCCAAATACTTGCTGCCGCATTTCGTACACACACTACGGTACGCTAAACAGTACATATCAGTACTACGTGTTCAAGCACAATTCTCATATCGGGTAGTATTCCTGCACGCTCTTTATATGGAGCCAAAGAATGACACCCTTCAATTAAGTATTAGATATTCCTCCCTCACCTACTATCTTTATCTAACTAATCTAATTAACGGTCGATGGGGTGCGCAATATTCCGCTTTCGTCCCTCTCACACTACACATCAAACCAATAAATACATTCATTCACAACACACACTAGGCTGTTCGCTAAATATCAGTACTGCACACAATAAAACAACCCTGTTTCCTCCAAAAACCGGAATAGGGGACCCAAATACTCGCTCCCGTGCTGACGCACAAATCTTATATTGGGTGGCATTCCTACACGCTCTCTATATGGTGCCAAGCAATGGCGCCCTTCAATAAGTGGGCTCATCGAACAACCTTTCTCTGTGCTGGACATAAGCAATAATAACTAATTATTACTGAAAACTTAATTTATGCTAAAAACTAATATTTTATGTCTCTTTTTTCAGGTATATTTGCTTCATCAGTACTGTAAGTAGTTTTCTAAGTTAAAACGGTTAATTTCAAATTAAAAAAGTTTAATTTAAAATTAAAAAGATTCATATGTAATTTTAAATTAAAATGATTAATTTGAAATTTATTGGGTTGTCCGGAAAATAATGCAGGATTTTGGTATTAAACAAAAAAAAAGAAACTAGTTACTTTAAAGCAATGTNAATGAGTAATCCTGTAAACGTAAACAGAATATTTTATATAGATTTTTTTTAATGAAAACTTAAAATCCTGCATTATTTTCCGGACAACCCGATAACAAAAATTAATTTGAAGTTTAATAAAAATTAATTTGAAGTTTAATAAAAATTAATTTGAAGTTTAATAAAAATTAATTTGAAATTTAAAAAATTTAATTTGAAATTAAAATGATTAATTTGAACTTAAGAAAGTTTAATTTGAAATTAGTAAGGGTTAATTAGGCTAGAGGAGGATCTGCAAACCCATATAATGTAAACTGGTATAACAAAAACAAACACATCACAGAATAGATCCAAAAAAAGACAAAAGAGAAGTGAATAAACTCTAGGGGAGATAGTAACGTAAATAAGCTTTTGTTACAACAACCCTCACCAAGACTGTAAAACTCACCGCAACAGCAAGAGAGGGCTAAATTCAAACGAGTGATAGTACTATATACCAACAATGCCAACAATGAGAAGACAACACAGTACTATATACCGGTCACTGGCATCTGGGAAAACGTCAGCATAACCCCGGTATATCCATAAATGACTCCTTTGTAGGTTATGCAATGAGGAGGAAGAAACTGCCACCCTTGTCATTTTCGGATGTGAAGCAGTCGCTCGATGGAGACATAACTTGAGATACAATGAAAACCCAGGGAATGGATTTGCAGCAACGACAGTCAATTACAAAGTACTCCTTTGGAGAAGACCGAGTCAATTGCACTGAACAAGGGAATTAGAAAAGTACAATACGCCGGAAGGCTGTTAGGAAAAAAACCGACTTCCCAGTATCCATCATCATCATCGTTACATTCCACCCCCTTTTTTTCCAAACCCGTGGTGCTATTTAAAAAGAAAAATCAATGATAAGATGTTATCAGAGAGTTTAGTATGCGCGGAGTTGTCACACAAATGTATTACTGGAATAATTAAATATGTTAAATAACACTGAACTACGCATTGTTTATGAAATCACGTTGCCACTTTCTTTTCAGACGCCTTGAAAGAAAGGTTTGTTGTTCTAAATCACCTGTGGGTAGAAAGGGTAGGATGGAATTTTAACTACGGGTTTGCACGACCAAACGGATATGAGCGATGCAGTTTGGATTACGAGGATTGCATCTTTTGGGTAACAACTACTGTTTTAAAGTACGTAAGTCATTCAGGAAAAGAAAAGGCAGTGGATATCACTTATTTGTATTTGGATGGCTTAAATTTGTTATCCATTTCTTCTTCTACCTTTCTTAATCTGTAAAACCGTCTTATAACTATCAATGAGAAATGGCAGGACGGTTATTTCGTTATGAAATCCAATGAAATAGAAGAGAATAGAAAAATTCTGTCAAAAGGATGCAAGATGCTCGGGGTGTTTAATATACTGCACCCTTTGAGGGCTACATCTAAGTTCTTACATATAGGACATAGGTAAGTCCTAGTTCATCAAGTAATTTGAGTGAATGATTGAATTTTCGTCGGTTACGTTATTTACATCCCAAAGTAAGGGCAAGTGCAACGCCACAGTTTGTAGTAGCGGTGGTGTCTCCTCTGCTTCCTTGCCGAACCTCACCGCGGTCGATAATTTACTAAGATAACAGTACAGTCCGCAGTGCCCTGTTAAGAATTCCATTGAGTGATTTCAACTGCTTCCTCTCTTTCATGAAGACCTTCTCGAGACCTAAAAGCGTTATAGCAGCCCCTTTCCTTTCAAGAACGGCCATTTTGTCGTTTTTCTCTACTCCTATATATCCAGGGAACCAGCATAGACTTATTTTACCTACCTAACTAATTTAATTTAGTTTTGTAATTCAGAACAATATTTTGAGCTAACAAAGTTTGAGCTCAGTGCTCTGATGACTCCTGGATATTGACGTATGTCCTTGATTTTTCCCTTTATTCAGGCTGAACTGAGTAACTACTCTAACTACTGTACTTTCCCATGAGTTCTGTACAATCGGTTCCAGAGCCGAACACTCCCTCGTGTACCTTTTGCGTTCTAGATCCATCATTGTGCCAACAGACGGTACTCCGCGAGAGAGGCTTTCCCTTTTGTCCACTCTTTTTTGTTACCTAGGCCTGATCGGAAATTTTGTTTGAATTGAAAAAATCGGAAAGGATAAAGAAAAAAGTGGACTGTAGGTACTTAGTGCAGATGGGTGAAACGATGACCTCCGACTGAACTCGTACAGCATGTTCAATGTAAGCCAAATATAGCAGAGCTTTTTCCAATGAGTGTGTATCTGTTGAACAATGTAAAAGATCTGCAAGAAATGGAAGTATTTCCGTAATCTGTACTGGGCCATTTATTGGGCCCGTCTTCACTCGCGAGTTTGTCGAACTGCTCAAACGCGTTTCAGCATTGCGACATCTTCAGTGAGAAACAGCATGAGTTCACCGACTCGCAGAACACCCATCATCAATTCTAGTATTTTAGGAGAATATCAAACTCAAAGATGATGTCCTGTGCACATTATGTTTTGAGGTGTTCTGTTGTACTGATCTCGTATCGATATGCATGGCTAATGCAAGATTAACGATTTTTCACTAAGTTACTGAGTTAGATCAGTTGAGAGAGAAACTATAAGTTTCTTGTTCTGTTTTAGCAACGTTCCTTTCATAATTTTTGTTTAGTTCGATCTCATGTCAATAATATTTTTGTTAGGTTGTTAATTACCAAATGACGTCGAAATGGGCGTGGCTAAGATGATCGAATGGAGTGATAGGGCATGGTCAAAGTTGGAAAATTATGTTCCTTTCTTTTCTAACATTCCGATTATTAACCATTAAAAACCCTTTTTATAAAGATAGTAAGAACTTACTGCGAGTAGGAACTAAATTTTTAAAAAGGATTGAACACACTCACTCCATCATTCATCATTTCTATTAAAAACCCTTACTTGCATCGAAAAGTTGGCTTGAGCTTAAATTTTAAGAGGACCCAATTTTAAGACCAAATTTTAAGAGGACAATTGAGGACCCACGATGTGTCATGACATCTAGTCTAATTACTGCCCTGCTTTTTCACCTTTTCTGTTTTGCTTCTGATATAACAGCAAACGTTGGCCATTAGTGGACGAAGAAGCCAAACTACTAAAGAATGTCTATTGTCAGCAACAATGATAAACAAATAAGTAAAGGTTTTTATACGATCGGTCCGTGGTTATGCGTTGATCTTCCAATAAAACATTCTTATAAAGTATTGTACTAAACATACAAATATTATTAAAAGTTCTTTGACAGACATTCACTAAGGTTGTGGAACAATTTGACGGTATTCTGTAAGTGATTAGAGCATATTTAATCTGAATGACGTACGTAGCACATAAGTGTGAACAAATGGTGTTCACACTTTTTTTTCTTGACGGCAACGACTTGTCCTACTTTGCATTTTTACCTGGATTTTTCTTTCACATCTGTAGTCCAGGGCTTAGTAGCCACTTTATGGACTATCTAATATCTTAATGGATTGTTTTCGTTGGGCACATCGGAAGAAGTTTCTTCTTCAGTAAAATACTGTAACAACCAATAGTGTACACAGATAAAACAATACAAATAAAGGAACTACAGAAACAAGAGAGTGGAGACCATATTATGGTGCATATTATTTGTATGAAAAGTGCACTTAGTTGACATAGATAGACAAGCACTAAGTTTATGCACTTAGTTTGTGTCGTAGTCTTCAACGGACGGGAAATCTCAGGGCCATTGCCTCTTTAACCCTTTATAGGGTTTAATGGGATTCAGTGAGATGAAATTGGAGTGAAGAAATAGGAGGGTTTTGTGGAATTGACGTACTTGGTCAGGATTTGTCATAAACAAAGGGTATATTTCGGTCATTGGATGTCTAGAAAGGCCCATTTTTTTAGGATGTCTTGGCGGTTTGAAATGGTTGAATATTGAAACTTTCGGCCAAGCCCCAAAGTTTCAATCTATAAGACCAAGTAGGTTCAGTATAGTTTTGAGCAAAAACAGGATGCCAGAGGCGGTCGTGGCGAAGAAATGTTGCCCAGGAGTACTGTTAAGATCTGACATCCACAAGGGATAAAACCTGATATGTTAGCAGCTACAAAAACCAAACCCCTGACCTGGAATGATATTCTGAGAATTGAGGATAGGAAAGATATATTTTGCATTCACATTCTTACAAGAGGAACCCTTCAAACCATTAACTATAATAAAAAATTAAATAGTTGACCTGTCTGAATGTCCTTACCAATTCACGGAAATACATACGTTCGTAATAGCGAAATAGATAAAAGCTAAATTGAGGGGTTATATACGACTACATGCGTTTATCGATTTTAGATCTACAACGAGCTTATCTCTATAATCAGTGGTGTGGAAGCAAAAGGATCTAACCTAACTGCAATTCTTTGACAGGTCTGCGAAACCTCGATAACCATCCATACCCGCTTCAGGCCCGTCCATATGCACTTAGCTATTCACGTAAATAAATACATTCGTACTAGTAAAAGAGATAAAAACCACATGTGTGATATCCAACGAATTCATCTTTTTAATCACTGTTGTGCTATAATATTTTCGAAATATCTTTCGACTAAACCGAGTTCTGTACGGTGCTCTTTTAGAATATGCTTAGTGGAAAAGCCTCTCCAGCTTAGAGGGCGGTTATTGGGTCTCGTTCCTATTGGATTTTTAACCACCAATAGTTCCAAAATGTCTGGATATCGTTGAAATTTTGACATTAATAAAATCAACTTTCTGAAAAAAAGAAAAAAGCCGAAAAACTACAATGATAAATAAGCATTTAAGCAAGAAGTAAAACAGTTCTGG